ATCATCGTCATCTTCATCAGAATCACTCTCATCTGTTATGGATTTGAGAGCAGCTCCAATATTTTTCTTCTTCTCCATTTCCTTCTTTGTCTCGTCCCTTTTCTCGAGGTCTTCCTCATCTTGAACCATTATTTCAGGCGTGAGGAGAGAACTGATTAACTCATCGAGGGTTAAAGATTTTAATTTTTTAGCCTCGATAATTGTTGTCTTCTTTGATTTCCAAGCTTTTGGAAGAGAGTAAACTAACTTCCTCACAAGCTTCTCATTGGAATGATCTCTCCATATGATTTAAGACCATTGATAATCACGGAAAATATTTCCGTCATAGTTTTGATGTCTTCATCCGGTTCCATCTTAAAAGTTTCATACCTATGAGTTAGAAGACTAATTTTAGATTCTTTTACTTCGTTTGTGCCTTCATGAGTGACTTGTAGTTTATCCCATATTTCCTTGGCGGTTGTACAAGATGAAACTCTCCCGTATTCATCTGGTCCAAGAGCACAAAATATAATATGGATAGCCTTTAAGTTGAGCTGGAACATTCTTGTCTCTCCTTCACTCCACAATCTCAAATGAGTAGAAGGTATGATGTATCTGTCTTTTATGATATTTCATGCTCCCATGTCACTTTCTTGAATGAAGTACCTCATTCTATTCTTTCAATAAGCATAATTAGCTCCATTGAAGAAAGAAGGGTTTTTGACGGGCATTGAATCAAGACCAAAGTCAAAGTTTAAAGTGGAGGTCATTGATGACTTGATTATCGATATAACTCTTCCCAAATCGAATCAAGACCCGATTAAACCTTCAAATGAGTGAGGCTCTGATACTAATTGTTGAGTTAATCGATCGATGAAATAGCTAAGAGGGGGTGAATTGGCAATTAAAATTTTGGTGGAAGCTTTTGCAGAAAATAGAAAATATTTGCACATCGATTTAGAGTGGTTTGACTTTCTCTACCAAAGTCTATGTCCACTACCTTAGCTATCCACACTAAGGATTTTCCAACAAATTCACTAATTTGTTCTTTCTTTTGAGGACAAAGAGTAACCTTACAACTCTCTCAAGAATTATACCCCAAATTCTTGAGAACACTCTCTCCAAAAGATAAATACAAAAATTTTGTAAACTTACAGAAAAACCTCACAAGGAAAGGTGTTTGCACAATTCTAGAACAAGAAAAGAACACTCAAAGATGATTACAAATGAGCACAATATGTGTTCTTGAAAGAAAAATGAATATTGAAGGAAAATTGGCTTGAATTGCACAAACTTGATGTTTGATGCTTTCTCTCTTGTTTCTTAATGACTTCTTGTTGATCAATGGCTTTAGAACTTGTTTAAATATACCTTGGATTGATTCTAGCCGTTGTGAATCATTTGGGTGATGTTAGAGCCGTTGTAGTGTGAAAACCCTCTTGAAAAAGGTTGTTGGGAGCGTGGGGTATCGATACACCTTCAACGGGTATCGGTACCTGTAGTGTAAAATTCAAATATTTCGACCGTTAAATGACTAGGGTTATCGGTACCTCTAAGGGGTATCGATACCCATTGGGCATTATGTTTTTCTCGGAGCCAAAATTAACACAAGGGTATCGGTACCCATTGGACATTCTGTTTTTTTCGGAGCCAAAATTTGCATAGGGGTATCGGTACCTCATTATTTAAAACTTATTTTTGGCTCTATTAAGGCTCGAAATACTTTGTAAAAATTGTTTCAAAAATATTTTAAGATTGAAACACAATTTTACACTTTAGTAAGGATTTAAATTTACCTTTGAAAATCTTGGAGTAATAATTGTGATATTTGAATAATTTAATCGAATATACTTTAAAAATGATTGTAAAATCTTAAAATTCAATAACACTTAATTTGTTATATTGAAACATCAAAATGTTTTCAACAAGTTATAAAATAGTCACTCGACTATTCATATGTTCTAAATTCGTACTTTTTCGTTTAGAGATTGTCTCAATTGGACGTTAACATGCTCACTGGGTTATGATAAAAATCTGATTCAAAAATTGTTTCAGTTGTATTTTATGGATCGAGTCTCTGTTTTCATTATGTCATTGAGCCAATTATTGAAACATTATGCTGCTGAACCAGTGTTGAAAGTAACGACGGTGCCAATAGATATCATTAAAATATGATTTTATCATATCTCAGCTAATGTTCAGATCAAACAATTGTCAAATTTTTGACGAAAAATTACGAGTTTGAAACATATGAATAGTCATGTGATCATTTTATAACTTTTAATAGTCGGGAGATTCAACAAAGCATCACTCTATATTCAGAGAATTATTTTGTAACTTTTAATAATCTGAGAACTCAATAAAACAACGTCCTATAATCGGGAAACTCAATAATGCAACACCCTATAACTGGGACCGTTTGTGTACATTTACCCTTATTTTTTGTGTATTATAATTATTTTTCTTATATCTCAACTAAAGCACTATAATTCTTTTACAAAAAAAAAAGCTAAATTTTATATAGTGCACAACTTCATAAGTTTTTTTGAGATTGATATTTTAATAATTTAACCATTATAATATTAATGTTATTGTATTTATTATCCATACAAATTTTTAAATCAAATATTTTTAACATGTTAATCTAAAATAATGTGTTTATTAATATTTATTTATCATTTGGATTTTTTTACGTATAATAAAAAATAAAATATTTTTACTTTACAAAACTTGACATGCATTATTTGCATAAATAAAATATGAAATCAAGAACTGGATTGTTAAAAGAGAAAATAACCTCATTGACCAAAAATGCCTTATAATATACGATTTTAATCAATTTTTTTTGGATTTGCCAAAATGACCAACTAAATCGCAATGCGATCGATAATTCGCAATGCGATCGATAATTCGTAACGCGATCTCCGGTATCGCAAATCAGTTTCCAGATTCGCAACGCGAACTTCGACTATCGCAATGCGAATTTGGACTATCGCAATGCGAACTTGGACTATCGCAATGCGAATATGTAAATCGTAATGCGATAGTTGAAGTTCGCATTGCGATAGTCGAAGTTCGCATTGCGATAGTCGACTATCGCATTGCAATTTACATATTCGCATTGCGATAGTCGAAGTTCGCCATACGATAGTCGAAGTTCGCGTTGCGATTTATTCCAAATTCGCATTGCGATAGTCGACTATCGCAATGCGATAGTCCAAAATCGCAACGACTGGTGGTATTGCATTTGTTTCTTAAGAATTTTCTCTAAAAAGATAGCATTCGCGCGGACGTGTCGAAGACACGTATTACCATTACCATTACCACGACCACGACCACGACCCGAGACGAGACGAGACGAGACGGCGGCAGCGGCGCGCGAGAGTCCCCCTTGTTCTCTATCACTCAACAAGGAAGTGGGAAAGCCAAGCCTTAAATATCATTCCCAATAGTGTTTCCAATACTATGTGGGATTGAGCATTACCAACACTTGTTTCCAATACAATGTGATTATTTATGAAACAATTAACAATCATGCACCTTAAAACAACTGAATTAACAACCAATTGCATTAGTATTATACGATTAAATATGTCATAATTAAAAGTCAATCTACAATCAATCGCGATTATTACAATTTTAAGCAAAACATTCAAAAATAATATCACTATTTAAGGCTCAATCCCACATAGTATTGGGAACAAGTGTTGGTAATGCTCAATCCCACATAGTATTAGAAACACTATTGGGAATGGTATTTAAAGCTTGGCTTTCCCACTTCCTTATTGAGTGATAGAGAACAATGGGGACTCTCGCGCGCCGCCGCCGCCGCCGTCTCGTCTCGTCTCGGGTCGGGTCGGGTCGGGTCGTGGTCGTGGTAATACGTGCCTTCGACACGTCCGCGCGAATACTATCTTTTTAGAGAAAATTCTTAAGAAACAAATGCAAACAAACTTGGACTATCGCAACGAATTTGGAATAAATCGCAATGCGAACTTGGACTATCGCAATGCGAATATGTAAATCGCAATGCGATAGTCGAAGTTCGCGTTGCGAATCTGGAAACTGATTTGCGATACCGGAGATCGCGTTGCGAATTATCGATCGCATTGCGATTTAGTTAGTCAGTTTGGCAAATCCAAAAAAAGTTGATTAAAATCGTATATTATAAGGCATTTTTGGTCCATGAGGTTATTTTCTCTTGTTAAAATATCAAACCCATACAAATTTAGAGGTATATAAAACTCAAGTTTAGACTAATGTGTGTATATATATGTGTGTATAATTATTATAAAAAGGCCACTCTCACTATATATATTGCAGTTTAATTTGATATGATACAGGGTTGCGTTTTCTGAAATCCACAACAATGGCAGTCCATGGCTATATCTGAGGACCTCGAAAATTTTCTTTAACTCTTCTTTTAATGGAGAATCATTTCAGCACACTGAAAACCTTGGTTCATCTCCTCCGCGCTTGAACAGAAACGGTACGTTGCAAAAGGAATCCGTCGATAGCAGTTTGTAGATCCGCTTGTGATTCCAAGCCAAGGCTGGACTAGAGATCACTATCAGAAAAACAAAGATGGTCTTCATCGCAAAAAGTCTGAGTCATATATGTGTCACAGATCAGGGAGTCAGTGACTCGGCCGGGAAAACTCCATGTTTGATCATATGATCTAAGATCCATGTTTTCAATACCATGCAGCGCATAATCGTCAAAGCCGCTCATGCCGCAAACTGAATACATGGTTGAAATGATATCCGGAGAAGAAGCACTTGGTTGAGCATAACCGAATCCACCCATCTTTTGAGAAGCCAAATACTTTCTACCATTAGAAATATCCCTCTTCGCAGTGCTTGTGTTTGGAGTATTAGCTAAATTCGAAAAACCACCTGCGAGAGAGGCTTCGTCATCGAATGAGATAACTTCTTCCCAGTGTTGGAATGCAGAAATTACCGAGTTTTGCGCTTCAATCTGACGGTTGAGCTGATGATCAGAAGTCATTAAAGACAACTAAATTAAAGAGATAAAATGAAATCAGATAGAGAGTATGCCTTCTCTATTTCTGACAGCTTATCAATTGTAATATACTGACATTCCGAAAGTAGACCTATCACTTGCCCAACAATGTTGAAGACCACACTGGATTTCTGTTGAGAACCGGGAGGGCAGTACAAGAAAATTCTCTTATCGAGAACACATTTCCGAGCATGCTCCACACTGACTTCCCACATCTTCGCAGACATACCTGTGCCGAGGATCTGCATAAAAACATATTCTTGCGATTAGCATTTGAACATCATCAGAATCCTGTATGTCGATAAGTGGACAACATGAAACCTGGAGAGCTTAAGATACAGCATGGATCTCTAGTGATGCTAGGTTTCAAGAATTATAACTGATGTAAAAATTGAACATAGATGACCACAAACATGGTCTACTGCACAGAAACTGCAAGAAGTATGAAATTAAATGTAATCAAAGATTATGTTGATATGTCTATGTAACTTTTTAAGGTATAAAACTCGGCACGAATTTCAGTGTTCTAATCCTATAGCATGCACAACAGAGTTCCTTTATGAAAAGCTACATAAACCTGTTCAAACTTAAGGGCATGGTACAAAAGAAAGAACAACAATTCTTACATGTCGCAGCCTTGGAGGATTTATGAAGAGCATGGTCAAGAAATCCTTTACAGAGTTGATATTTTCCCGATTCAACCGCTTATGGAAAGCTCCATCTTTGCCAATTTTCTCTAATCTCCATACTTCATCAGAAAGAGATGGAGGATGGTGCTTCTTGTATACTGCAAACAGAAACCGAAAGTTGAAAAAGTGTTACATTTTATCTTCTATCTCATTCACATAATGACTTAAAAATCAACCATGTCAATGCATACACATTCTGAAGAAAACAACCACCAAAAAGAAAAGAGAAGGCAATGTAACTTTATTTTTCTTCTTGTGATTGGAATCCTAAAGCTTATTTTGACTTTGCAGTTAAAGAATAGATTAAGAAGTGGAGTAAGTTAAGAAGTAAAACGAGATTAGAATTCATTCAACATCTTGATATCATCAGCAATCGGCGACTGTACTATGCAACACTACTAAAAGTGACGAGCATCTGATTTTGTAGCCTGAAAAATTATATATCTTGTGCCATACAATAAATAGGTACCTACTAATCGAAAACATAATGATAAGTACTTACATTCAACACGATGATCCCTAACAATGAAGGACTGTGTCTTTGCTTCTCTTACTCTAGTTCCATCAGAGCCATCCACAACTCTTGCACCAAGTCTGAAACGACGGCTTCTCGTCCAGCTTGAATTATCTGAGAACGATATCTCACCCACTAATCCAATTCCCTCGGTAAGAGTTAGAAATGCATCTCCGGCAGGAAGAGGTTTCTTCCCTTCTCTCTCTCTTACAATGTTATTCTTAAACTCTTCAAGTGTCCAATGGTCCCCCTCATCACCGTCAAAATCTCCCTCAAGGACTACAATTTCTACTTTGGAAGAAGCCTCGGGACCAGAGGAAACTATTTGTCCAGTAAGCACATCTATGGCAACCTTAATGGCATAAAATTCTTCTGCTTCGATTCGAGCTCCAGTGAACACCGGAAGAGAAAGATTATTTAAAAACTTGATTTGCAAACTTCTTGATTCAGTAGAATTTACCTCCTTCCCTTCATTCCTTAAAAAAAGAACCGCACGGTTTAGCATATACTATGAAGTTAACCCCAGCTTTGAGGCGAAAATAATTCTGATCTCTTTTCTTCTTTGAATTGAATAATTACCTTTTCAAGTTATTCAAATGCTTTCTAAGAGCCACTTCAACTTCCTCTTTGACCTACAAAACATACGATAGGAAAAAACTAAACACGCCATTGTCAATGCTGTATGCATAACTGTATCCAGAATTATTTCAATCCGAGTCCAAGTAGCATAGACAACAATAACTGCTAAAGTAAAACTCATTAAGCACAGGATATGGTCATTTTATGATTTCAACTCTTGATACAAGCATTGTCGCCTATTATTACAACCTTTCTTGTGATAGTGAAGCACCATGACATTAGATAATCTACTATGTACATATATGCTCGTAACATATACTAGTCACTTGATGCTGAAATGAGACAATATGACAAGCTGGATAGAAAGGGAAGCTCACTAATACTCTTTTAGCATGTAAATCAAAAGCTAAACCTGTTTTATGGTGGAAAATGATAAATAATGTAGGAGCACTTCTGAAATAACATGATCAAAGGAAGAAAAATACCACCCTACGAATTAATGGTTCCAAAACTGTCTCCAGCAAATGCTGGACTGGTTGCAACTTCATCCCCTCCTGAACCACACTACCATCATTTACAAACAGATTAGCAACCAAAAGAAACACTATAACAATGATGCATAATATTAGATGGACATATTTCCAATTCATCACAAAAAATGTATGGGTGTAAGTGAGATTCAACTAATGGAGAATGAAAACGTATTCAAGTAAAATCACATCATATCCAACACCAAGAGAAGAAAATCTATTCATATGACCATGCATATCATTTCGTTCTCATATTTATCCCCTCATATACAAAACTTAACTATTTCTTTTTGGGAAAAATAAATATAGTGCCATGTGAAATCTCTATTGTTAAAGCATGTACATGTGAGACAACAACTTTTGACCGTCTCCTACTGTGATAACATAACATTCAGAAATTGGAAGAAAAACCCATAGATAAGCCCACTGAACAGAAACGTTTATCCAAGTTCACAATAACAAAATCACAAAACAGTGAAGTCCATAAGGGCTAACCACACTCAATTAAGCAAAACCAAATGCCTAATTCAGTTCTCTAATTGGTTTCAACATTAGCAAATGTAATTTTAATCACTTTACAGATTGCCAATATATCCACTTATGTGTAATTTTACTAACCAAGAAATAAACTCAATACAAATATATCCACTCATATGTATGCACTTCAGCTTAAGAACTTTCAGTCATATTAAACATATAAGTCATTAGGATCAACCCCAGAAACCCCAATTATGCATTAATAAGAAAAATGAAAAATGAAAACTAAGGCAAGAAAGGAAAGGCGTGTACTTTCTCAATGCAGGAACCCTTCTCTTTTTATCCTGATCAGGACTAAACGCTTCTGAGGGTCGACCCTTACCATCTTCTTGGGGTCTCTTCTGTGCCATTATTAAAACTATTAACTCCAAAGTTAAGCTGTTTGGATGATAGGCAACGGTGGCAATGAGGTTCATTAACAACAGGTGAAGAACCCAAAATGCAGCACTTAAATTGAAAACGAAACCACCGAGAAGAGATACTATTCATTCATTCATCAATAATAAATGCTAATCAAGGAGTAAAATCCAAAAATAAAAATGAAGCCCTTGAGCAAAAAAAATATATAAAAAGGAAACCAACAATTATAACCCCTTTTCCCATCTCACTTTCCTATCCATTGCCTGAATTTGGATGTGTCTGGGATGCTTCTTCACCCTGAATCTCTTTCACCGTCTTTTTTTCTTTGTTACCCTCCCGTTTTTCAAGTTCGTCCTAGTTAATCCGGACTAACTTGATTGCACAACTGACTTTGGCTTTGGTGATTGAATTTCTTAATGAAGATTTTTTACATTTCCAATAACTCAAATTCGACACTTATTTAAATTATATCAAACTGTTTAAAATTTGAACCAACCCCGTTATTCTTTCACTATCTTTTGTTGTTCTTTTCCTCACTCTCTCTATCCCTCTCTAGTCTGAATTTAACACTTTAGCATAGGCTGGCGGTGGCGTTTTTCTTGTTGTTGTGTGTGTGTTCTTTTTTGGATCAGACTGAGTGCGTGTTTATGTAACAAAAGGATATATGTCTACAAATGGGACCCCACAAAGAGCCTTATATATATATATATATATATAAGACACATGTTCGTAAGAGCTTGTAACTTGCCTAACTTTTACTTATTTAGAGTGAAGATAATTTAATTATTTTATAATTAGTTTAGAATCAAATATTAATTATCATTTAAAGAATAATTTAATCACTTATAATTAATTTGAAACTCGATTAATTCATGTCATTTGTAATATCTAAAATCTAGCCTAGATATTTCGGTCAAAGTCGAGATACCACATAATTTTAAAATCAAATTACTTTTCTAACCAATAAATCTAATAAAATGTAAATTAATGTCCAAACAAAATGATTACAAAGCCATAAACGACAAATATAACACAATACTTGAAAATAGAAATAAAATAAATATGAGAAACATCTGGAATATGTCGAGTTTGAGTTTAGTTGTAAATAAAATCTGAAAAGGAAAGAAAACAGGGAATGAGCTATAAAGCTTAGTATAATATCTAGGTGTTTACAAGTAACCAGAGAACATGTTTGTTACATAATTTAATGAGAGGACATGTTACATACAATAATTATCTCACGACTCATACACGCATAACAAATGCATATACAAACATTATGCAAAATATTTTAGAGTTTGAATTGTTTGATGTTTAGGGATAGACTTCATGGGTCTATTTTCACCTTCATTCAATAATTTATACATCCTTGTGGCAGTTGACTATGTTTTCCAAATGAATGAAAGTCATAGCTCTTCCCACCAACGATACCAAGGTAGTAGTCAATATTTTGCACAAGAATATCCTCACAACGATTAGCATGCTATGAACTATAATCAATAAGGAAGGATATCATTTCTATTGCAAGTTAGATGCTAATGTCTTACAAAAAATGTGAGATTAAATAAAAAATTTCTAGAGCATATTGTAGACACTCGTTTTTGTCCGAATCGAAATATGATTATTTTAAGCATTCATATTTTTATTTATTATTATAATAATTATTAATATTATCATTTTCATTTATATTTTACATATCCAAAATATCAACCCAAAGTACAAGGCAACCCAGACCCATCTCGGTTCAGACCCAAGGTTGCATCAGCCCACTCTGGAGCCCAAACCCGTGTAGGGTTTTCATCTTTAGCTCCAGCCGCTTCCTCATCACAGTCGTCTGATCGAGATCGCAAATTAATGGCCCAGATTTACCCAAATTAGGGTTTACCCTAATTCAACTCAGCCGCCACCATTACCAATGAAATCTGGAACATTCTGTAATGCGTGTATGACGCATGCGCTAGCCCTTCGACTTCCCCCGTTGCGTGAGCCACTGTCAACAAGCTCTGAAGCCACCGACGTCATCACCTCAGACTGAACAGTGCAAAATCAAGCAAAAAAAACCCCCCCAATAAGTTAGCAAACTATTACCAAACACGAAACCCATTAAAAATTATCTAAATCCCACCAAATCTGGGATTTTTACTTGCTCAAGTTAGAAGACCACTCCCCTACCGATAGATCTAATTATTCCCATCCAATAATCAACATAAATCAGTCATGCAAGCAGACGCAAAGAAGAGAAATGAGGGTGGAGATAAAAAGAAAGAAATCAAAAGAGGGAAGGATATTGGGGGTCGATTTTTCGAAAAGAAAAAAATAGCTACAGCAAAGAAAAATAATATGAAGAAAAAAAAAGGAGAAAATCGAATGAAAAAAGGCTTACCTTTAGCAAGATTCGTCCATTATTCACCTCATCGGAGCCGATAAACCTTGTCATCGAAGGTAAAACTCTGATCTTTTGGGTTTTGGAGTCTCGTTTTAGGTTTTAGGGGGATGTGTAGTTTAAAGTCTTGGTTTTTTTTTTAAAGATCGAAGGAACTAGAGGGGTTTGGTGAGTTGGTTCACTTACCTTCGTCGCCGGTTTGCGGTGGGAGTGATGCTTTCTCTACTTTCACGGGTGGATGCGAGAATGGTGAGGGGAGAGAGTTTTAGGGTTAGCAAAATAGAGGGAAAGGAGAAATGGGGAGGAGAATGGTCGGTTGGCCTTTGTTTTCCTCTTTTAAATCTAATGTAAAACGATGTCATTTAGGGAAGGGCTCAGAGTATAAATCTTAGTAGGGTATAATAACACATATAGTCCTTTCGATTTTTAATATCATATTTTGGTTATTATTCGAAATTTTGTAATATATTGTTTTAGGTTTCTGTTTTTTCATATTTGTGATTAAGTCACGGTCTAAATATTATGTTGATTTTGCTATTATTCGATTTTGGCTGAGGTATTTACAAATTTTACATTCTAGTCACCGTTAGGGATCCTTTTTATTTGTCATTTTTCCCTATTTTCCAGTTTTGTGTTTCAGTTTTAATTTTTTTTGGGTCATTTATGTGTAAGTCCCCGAAAGTTTAGTGCCTATTTACATTTTAATCATTTGTTGAGACTGTTTCGTTGTTAGTTTAATTGTGATGTCCTGATTTTGCAATTTTGCAGATTTTTATTGATTAGCTTATTTGAAGTTTATTAAATTGGAATAATTATGCCTCAGTCATCTTAATTTCAGCGTGTATTTAAATTTAGGTTATTGTTTAAATTCTCAAATTGCATGCTATATTTTGAAGAGTATTTAATTTAGTCCATTTCTACATGTTGTTTTATTTTTATGCTTATTTTAATTTGAGCACCCTATTTTAATAATTTTCATTTTAGTCCTGAATGTTGATAATGGTTTATTTACGAATATAGTGCCCTGTTTGTAAAATATTTGCAATGGTTTCCTTGATTTCTTGTTGGTTTTATGATTTAATCCCTAAGGTCACAATCTTTATTATTTTGATCCATCATTCACATATTTGTTAATTTTTGCTAATTGTAATATTTTCAAATATTATATTACTCTAGGAATTTATAGAAACACGCCTTAACTGATGAGGAATGTGTTTCCAAGAATTGTTTGAACAAGATAATTCACTTTATATTTGAATGAATTTGTTTTTTTTAATTAATATATATGTATTTTATCTAAAAATTTGGGCAACATTATTTTGTATGGAAATCCATGGAAATGCCCCCTTAACTGACAAGGAAGGCATTTCGAGAATTGTTCGTGCAAAATAACAACCTTTATATTTTTCCTAAAAATGGATCATAATTTAAATGTTATTCGAATTTGCCAATTTCAATATTTAGATGACGTATAATCGCTTAGGTACCGATTTCGGGCGTTGTGGGGGTGCTAATCCTTCCCCACACATAATAAACTCCCGAACCCTTTTCAAAACGAATTTCTGGTTAAACACAAATCAATTTTTATCTTTTAAAATTACTTTTCTTAAAATTATTTTAAAATGTATTTTTAGGTATTCGACCTACCTAACCCAAAGGTCGATGGCAACTCCAAATTTGGTTATTTATGTATTTATTTTAAAACCCAACCTTTTCCAAGATTAAGTTGGATCGATCCCCGTCAAAGCCCTAAAAAGCTTAAGGATCGTTCCAACAGCTTGGCGACTCCGTTGGGGAAATTAGAGAGTCATGCCATAATCGACTATACGACATCTTTTTTCGTTGAAAATGGTAAATTTGAATGATGTTTAAATTGTGATCCTCATGTTTTGTTTGCATTGTAGTGTGCATCTTTTATTTATTGGTTGTACTAACGTGTGATTTACATGTTTCATATTTTTTACTTTTGTTTTAATCTATTTGTTTTTGGATCGAGGCGAAAGATTGCGAGTTTCCCCACTCGCGCTATAATCTTTCGAGTATTAAGAGCCTTCTAACTATGCTCTATCCCCTTAGGTAGGGGTGAAAACTACGTTTATATGAGAAAAAATATTTTTCTCTGCATGGGCTTTAGCAAGTAACCTCTAGGGTACATATACCTCATGTTTACGAGCGAAACATTGAGTTTCCTCGCATGGACATGGGGAAATGCATCCTCTCGAATTGAACTCAACCCGTTTAAGCCTATAATGGGTGAGGATTGAGGGTCTGGCAGGCCCAAGAGGGCACGTGCAAAGGACAATTCGAGGACCTTGTTAGTAATACAAAATTTCTGCCCGTTTCATACTGAATCTCTGTCTGCGGTTCTTCACAAAGGGGAAACTCACTCTAACCTTCTTCTCGAATTTATTTATTTATTTTGAAAAAGCATGAGAATTAGAAGAGTATGCAGTTAGGTTCATTTTTTTCTTCAAATAAGCATTCGAGCTAAATGGCACGAGGTTAGGGTTTATATGTTGAACAAAGCATGGGGTAGAAAACATGTTTGGGTAGAACTATTATAAAAGCATGTCAGGGTAGATACCATGTTGGGTAGAATCTTTTCATTTCATAAATATTTTT